CGCGCGTCCGAGAAGAGGAATTTCTTGTCGCGGAACTCTCCCGCCTCGCCCCCGGCCTGCTCGGCCGCCGGCGATGTCCGGTTGACGTCCATGGCGCGCGCTGTGGGCTCGCGGACTATCGCGGACCGCGGCGCTGGTGGCCGCGTCACGGGGCCGACTGCTCGCTCTGCGGCCCCGGCCTGGCCGCCCGGCCGCCGCCGACCTGCCGCCTAGCGGCCGCCGGCCGAACCGCCGCCGGCCGCGGCCGCGGTGTTTTGCACCAGCCGCTGGCGGTCGGGTCGGCTCGGCGCATCACGCCCCGAAAGCCGGTGGTGGCCGCGAGGGAGGCCAGGGTCCCGTGCGAGGCGCCCGGCGCTCGAGCGGGGCTGCTGCAGGGACGGTTGTTGTCGACGTGGCTGGCGACTCGTCATCCGGGGGGGGGGGGGGGGAGGGAGGGAGGGATAGAATGGATGGGAATTGTCGACGCGTGGAATGTGTCGATGGCGGAACAGGGCCATTGGGGAGTTGATTATGTAGGGGGTCTCCGCCTCACCGGATCGCTTTTATGTTTCATATTTGGTCGTTGTGGTGTGCGTGACATGCGACGATGCGAGCTTTACATTCAACGTTGGATGTGGTGTCCGTGGCCACCAGCTCGCTTCGCACACCAGAAACACATTTATGTCGTCAGTCTGAACTCCATTGCGAAAAGATACCACGATATCCACTGCATTCAAAATTGTCGACGTTGGTAGGTATTCCTTTGCCGACCCTTTTTCGTATTTGCCGGATGTGTTTGATGCCGTGACGTACGATTTGAATTGACTGCATTCTTCGAAGCGGCTTTGCTAAGTTGCCGTGTCTTTGTGTGTGCCACCAAATGCAACGTCAGGGGAAAAAGGTGAACTCATGTCTGAAGTCACTAATATTTCGGGAATACAAAAAAGGTCAGCGGTCTCGTCTATCCTCAGACCCCGCTACCAACCGAACTGAGAAAAAGCGAGTGACGCGCCACCGCTTTGTTACGTCGCTGGTTTCGCGCGAGCTCGTGTTTAACGGCGATGCTTTTGGGCACGAATCGCTAGCAGCTGTTCAGTTTTAGCGGGTGCGGAAACACATGTAGACGCCATTGACCGATGTCCCGGCGGATAGTGTTGCGTGGCTGGCTGACGTCACGGCTGATGGTGTTGTTGCGTAACCAGCTGACGTTACGGCTGATGGTGTTGTTGCGTAATCAGCTGACGTTACGGCTGATGGTGTTGTTGCGTGACCAGTTGACGTTACGGCTGATGGTGTTGTTGCGTGCCCGTTCTGCCCGATAACCAACTCAGGTGCGTTTCTCTCGCCCGAGGCGACAGGGCGACAGCCGTGGTACGCTGATGTCACTGTCCGTTCCCACGCGGTGTGTGCGCGCGTGCCGAGCGCCGCGTGCCGGTACTGCGGCGCGCCGGTGCATGTCAGTCAGATCCGCGGTCCTCTCTCCACCTCCGCGGGTGTGTAACTCTGATCTAATGTGAACGGACCTCCCGCCGGTCCACGAATGTCTGTTCTCCGTCTGACAGCGCAGTCCTGCATCCCACGTCATCTGCTGAGGCGTCGGTTCCGTTGCAGCGCTGTGAGGACCGGGTCTGGACGCCAGAAGGCCGATTACGTTCTCCTCGACACAGCTTGACACAGCTCGCATGGCGTTTGTGTCTTCATGTTTTGAGGCGCCGTTTTTGTTGTTGTTCTTTTGCTTGTGTTACATACAAGCTGGCACATCCGTTCATGGAAGTGGCCCATCGCTCGTGCTAAGTTATAAAACACAACCGACGAGGCGGTTGGTGGAGGTGTCGAGTCGTTAGGCTCTTCCGTTAGGTTTGGCTGACGAGGCGGGAGAACATCAGGGTGAGGAGATAGCATGGTTTTGTTTTATAACGTTATCCAAGAACAGGTTTCTAGGAATATCCTTCCTTCCGTCCCAGCAACGCAATGAACCGTACGTTAAAAGCAAAAAATAACAAAACAAAAGCACAAAATCAAGTGGCAGCTCTTCCAGATACGAAGCAGAAAACAAATATAAAGAAGCAGGCAAAGAGGTGGTGCAGACCCGGTAGGTTTCGCGTTATGCCATGGAAAACGACAGGTCATACGTGAGAAGGCTTGACGTAGTCATAGTCAAATTCAGATAATGACAGCCCGCTAGACCCCCCCCCCCCCCCCCCCCCCCCCCCAGTAAACTACTAGCACTCATTCCCACTGTCAGTTAAGTCGCACAAGTCGGACGGGCAGTTACCTGGTCATTTTCATGCTGGGTCTTGAGCTAGATCTCCAGGGAGTCCCACTTGAGCCAGCTAAGCGGAGCTTGTAGTAGAGAGAAACGCCTGGAACAAGCGGTATGAATTTGAGTGCAAGTGTATGGCCATGGATAAATCAGAACGTGATTATGGAATATGAAGGGGGTTAAGTATGGAGTGATCTACCTACTTACAGGGCGAAAAATCCAATATCTCAAAAGCCTTAAGTGTGTTGGTTGCGTTAATATGTTGCTGACGAAATGCTTGTGGATGATGTTCTTAGCCATGCTTTCCATTTAGAAATATCAGCTATTTTAAGAAAATACGAAATAATAATGTTGTTCCACAGGTCATGGCCAGGGCAAGCTAATTAAAATAACCTATGATAGCGATTTGAGAATGGTGACCTAAATGTTTTTACTCGCCCCATATGCATTTTATTCAATTCGTACATCTTATGTATGACATCAAATGATGTAGGAACGTGCACAGTTAAGCATTTGTGCATTACAATCAGCATTCGGGATTTAGCAATATCGGGCGATTTCCACCCTGTTTTACTGTTGTTTTTTTACTGTGTTCAAAGCCTTACTGAGAACATCCTGAATGGGAATGGCATGTACCATATACCAATGGTACCTGTGCCCTTCTGAAATCAAAACTGGTTGTAGTGAATGAAGTGATTTTGGTTAGACGAAAGATGAGTGTATTACAACGAAGTTTTTTTTTGAAAATTTTTGATCTGTGCTTATGTTTGTGCAAGTGTGATTGTAATTTGTGTCAGTAGTTGTATAGGTGTTTACTCTGACCTGCGATGACATCACAACTGTGCAATTAAGTGTTTGTTCAAACTTAGTGGCAAATTCTCAAATGTTTCTAGATGCAAGCGAAAGTTTAAAAGCTATCAAGCGCAAACTTGTCCACCCAAGTTCGCTGGATAATCCCGCTCTCGACCTCCTAGCCGGACGGGAGAGCAAACGAATGTTTGCGGTGCTCATTACGCCGCGGTGCGCCGGGCGACGCCAGACGGGCCGTCATCGGAGTGGTGTCTGGCGATACGCGAGGCGCTGACCGCTGCGCCACATGTCTGAGAGCCGTAGGACTCAGTTCACCATGTGCCGAGCTGTTCTGCATTCCATCGTTTGGGTGCAGGCCTGACCGAGGGGATGTGATTCACTCTCCCACGGGCAGCAGACGTTAGCAAGACGTTGTGCTGTCGATGGCTGAGATTTAGCGTGTTCAGCAGTGACAAGATGACGCAAAATGTCATGTCCCGAAGACAGCGAGTCGTTTGTCGTGTCACGTCTTTTGTTCATCCTGGTTATGTTCAGCAATGCTGAGGTCATAGCGATAGTCTCCATGCCTCACAACCCCCCACGGAAACCTGCCCCGCCGGTTCGGTCGGCAGCGTTGAGAACGTGCTCCGTGCATTGCCGATCGCGGCGAAGGAGGTCACACTTAAATACAATGATGAACAAAGGCCAAGATGCTATATTGTGACTTTTCGTGTCGATCTTTGGCGGTCGAGGGCGGCAGGTCAGACGCGGCAGCAGAACCATGTCCGTAATCAGCTCACTCTGCTTCAACGACGAAGCAAATGAGGCCCGAATCGGTCGCAAGGCACGGCTGCCAGCAGCTGTTTTGCAAAGCAGGCCTCCGTCAACAGCCACACCGAACACGCTGATCTGTTTGGACCTGAACCGTACGCAGTACGGCGGCCGACGACTGGGCAACCTCCGCTGCCGTTTGTTTACGTAACCGGGCCGGATGGGTGCCGACCACCCGCTCCGCCGGCCACGACAGCACGAGGCGTCCGCCGGCTAGAGGCCGCCGCGGGCGGGAACGACCAACCGGCGGCGGAGACGGCGGATGTCCGCTGGTCGGTTCTCCAGAGCCCCCCCCCCCCCCCCCTCCTCCCGGCCCGGAAACGGGCCAGGGCACACGTGCAGCGGTCTGTCTCGGCGCTGCCGTACTCAGCTGTCGGCATGGCCACATTCCCAGCAAATAACAACAGAAAAACGCTCGTGCCAGCTACAGCGCGATACACAGCTTGTTAGTTACTTGCGGGGCAGCCAGACCAGGCTGTGCACTTAACTGGAGTCAATGTGTGTTGCGTATTCGATTATATTAGGGCTGGTATCAATGACAATGGGCCCAGTGGCTTTGTCAAACAGCGGGCTTAACTGGGCTCCATGGCACAGGCACGCGGGGGAGGCATGTCAAGCACACCGCTTGAATCCTTTCGTCTACGAGCTGCCGTCGCTCCTTGCGATGGACTCGGCTGAGGACTCGGGTTGATTTACGAGGTCGTTATTCTCGGCGGTCCGGACGGGACGTGTGGCGTCCTGCGGGCGCCGTCCCGGGCTCCGCCAGACCCGAAGTTCGCCGGCGACGGCATGCGCGGACACGCGCCGTCACCGGCGGCCTCATAAACACGTCTTTCGCGGGAGACAGCGGCGCCGGTGACGCAGCGTCACGCCCGGCCGCAGCGACTGCGGAGCCGCGTGTCGTAATCGGCGAGCCAGCGTCGTGTTTTCTCGGCTTCTCGGAGAAACGGCGCGGCACGGCTGCCCGGTGCCGGGCGGCGCCTGGCGCTCGTGCCGCGCGCCGCGGGGGTCCGTCCGGGCTCCCACAGGGGCCTCGTCGGAACGAGCCGTGCGGCGGGAGTGCTCCGACTCGCAGCCGACTCGTCCGGTTAGCTGAGTTGCTCGGCGTCAGAGTCGGAATCGGTCCCATGTGTTGTGAGTACGAGTCGGAAGCGATTCAGCTGAAGTGAGATCAAGCACGAGCAGGGACGCATTCGAAGGTAGCACCAGGGTCACGTCTCCCTCTTTCCAAATATTTGCGTGCATAAATATCCATGTGAGCAACTGCCATCAACGACAAAATAAAGTAATACAAGTGAAAATGAGTGTGCGGGCATATGCAATGCTGTCGTATGCCATGCAAGAGACTATATGCGCCCGTCGCTTGCCAAGCATTTTCAATTTGAAAAAAAAATGTGTTGTGCCACCCAGATTTTCAGTTGAAATTTTGGCATGCTGCGCCCCTTTCCAAAATTCTGTGAACACTTGTATGCCCAAGTCCGTCCAGCATTGCCACTGCAGCGCAGTCTCACGTCTGCACGCACTGCCAATCACCGCGTCTGCATGCCATGGCGCAAAATGGCCTCTGGTGCCGATGCGCTCATAAACCCGACATCATTGTCAGCGGCAATGTAATTGCCGAAAGTCTCTCATGATCGTCACGAATCTGGCCATGACACATGCACTGCTTCTCATGTCGCCGTGATGATTAGAAACCAGTTGGCTCTAGCCTTGAAACCACTTTCCCCTCGGCTGGTAGCATTTGTTGTTGTTTTGGAGTGAACTGTTCGCGACCTCGTCCCGATTTTCTCAATGGCTGGCGTAGTGGAGGGTTGTCGATCTGATAGCTGCTGCTATGCATTGTGCACTATGCCATTAAACAACAGTGTAAATGCACTGAAAGCAATTCATAAAACAGGTGTGCATTGTTTTCCTGGGCTGCCTTGCTTTCGCGTTCCATCGACACCCGCGCGAATGCCTCATTTCTTCGGCAGCGTGAAGTAGCGTGCGCGGTGCTCTCCCTGTCCGCGAGCTGGCATGCTTCTTTTGCTCTCGCTCGTACGCTGGATTAAGGTTAATCTTGTCGACTGGTGGGATAGGATGGTACTGTGTGGTCAGGTCGATGATGCGTTCTGGGACTGACATTGCCATGACTGGGATGGCTGTCGTTGGGGCTGATCGTTGTAACAAAACATGCTGCTCTTTGGTCCGTTGCGGTTCTCCATCTTCCATTGGGACGTCCGTGTTGTCTGTTATTGCCACGCTGGTCAGTGATACATTTGCTTGGCCTGCATCGTCACAGACCTGTCAGTGGCATGTTTTCCCTTCTCAGTCGTCATAGGTGTGTCTGCAACAGCTTGTTCGGAGGCTTACGTTCTCAGGTGCAGTGAAGGGTCCGTCCAACTCTGATCAGCATTCCTTCGCCGTCCGCCACCACTCGCCGCCACCAGTGGTAGCACGGTGCAGTGCGGTGTCGGGTGGTGCCGTCGCGGCCGAACACCTCGGCCACCTTCCCACGCGTGCGCCCCCAGAGCCCGGTCTCCGGGTCCCAGCGCGTCGTGGCCATGCCGATCCCACTCGTCCACGCAGCGCCCGTTTCGTGCGGGCCCGGCGCCATCGGCGGCGGCGACGGCGGCGGCGGCGGCGGCGGCGCCGGCGGCGCGGCGGCGGCGGCGGCGGCCCGTCCCGCCCTGCTCCCGTCACCGTCCCGCCCTGCTCCCGTCACGCACCGGTACCGTGTCGGCCGACGTCACTTTCTCGTCGCGCCGTGCACGCCGGAAAATGGACGGCGGCAAGCGCGGCGCGGCGGCGCTGACGGCGTCTCTCTCCGGAGACACCGGGTCGGTGACCGGGCCGAACCGGTCCCCGCCGGTGAAACGGCTCGCCAGCTCTGCACCGCCGCCGACGTCTGGCGGACGGCCGACGCCGCTGCTGCGCTTGAGGTGCTAGTGCGGAGGCGGTGGGCGGTGGTTGTCTGGTCAGAGACGTTCTGTCCTGCACCGTGCGGTTTGTCGGGGCTTTGCTGGTTTGGTGGGAACATTTTTTATTTAAAGGCCGAGCGATGGTACCCCACAGTGGAGAAGTGCTATGGAACAAAAAGGGCGAGCGTTATATGCATTTAGGTACAATTTTTGCCCGAGCTTCCATCCTTCAGTCAATTACAATAGTGCAATTTCAGCTTGCAAAGCGGTCTTCAGGGGGACTGATCTGCGGAGAAACGCGGGGGGGGGGGGGGGGTTCATCACACCTGTCATCCGCCTCCATCCATCGGCTCTCCCCCAACGTTATCTCGAAATCTCTCACTAAGCCGGCGGTGTTGCATGGTCAGAGTGGATCTGGAGGACCATTGCCCCCCCCCCCCCCTCCTGATGATCGGCGGGTGGTGTCGTCCTTGCAACTTGCAAGAAGCAGTGACGTGCGTCATATCAGCGCTTGGTGTCATGCTGTGGGTGTCCATTAAGCATTCAATGGTTAGCAATCTTGCGAGATGATTTGGTGGAAGTGCAATTGGTTAATTCGATCACTGCAAATGTTGAGATGACAGTTGTAAGACCATTGCCTTTCTCGAACGCTCCCCCCCCCCCCCCTCCCCCAGCACACCGTCTACTGCCATGTTATCTTATGGAAAGAAGAGGCTGTAGAGAGTGAAAGGGAATGCGCCACCTTTTTAGGGGGTTTTGAACTGAAATAGACATTTTGAAGAGCAATCGGTGCAGTTCACAGCCTTGCCCTTCTAAAACTTAAAACCCCTAATTTCTGAGCTATACGCCCGCGAATAAGAGTAGACTGTTTCGTGCAGACTTTCAATATAATTCAGCACTGCAGGACCCTGCAGCAACGTCATGTCAGTCCTGTCGCCCCGCCGGCTACACGTCGTCAGTGGATGGGGGGGGGGGGGGGGAATATTTCAGCCGAGCTGTGGGGGCCTAGCGCCCGCGGGCGCGACCTCTAAGTACACCGGGCGTCAACTGACTGTCAACCAATGTCGCGCGTGCAGTGCATGCCGTTGGCTCAAATCGAGTCGCGTGCTACGTAATCCAAGAAGTTATATGAAGGTTCCTCATTAGTTATTGCGGCAATGAGGCTTGTAATCGAATAACTTGAGGAAAACGCCATAACCGACGATGCGAATGCAAGTAAATATTTTAAACTCGCTTATAAATATGGAAGAACACCATGAGAAAGGGCCAAAACACGAGCGCGTAACGAGGTTTGGCTCAGCGAACACTTCCAGGTTCGCCACTGCCATCTCTCGGCGAGTTCGAAGTGTGTCTTATGAGTGACAGGGTGGCAATTTTGCACGGCAAATTTGGCAGCACCTCAACGCTATAGAAACGGTCTGTGACGCAATCAAACAATGACGCATTGAAAGGCATGTTTACTAAGAAGAGAAATTGCGTCGTCTGGAGCAGTCGTTTCCACTTAAAAGTATACCAATAGTTTTAAGTGAACATATGTGATCATCTGATGCTTCAGCACCTTGAAGGAGGAACATTCCTCTTAACAGTCAGCGAGATTTGACTCTATGAAGGATTTTGTATTTCACTGAACTGTTGTATGAACTGAATAATGTGGCGTGAGTAAGAAAGTCAGAACGGACCGACTTGGGTATCCTCGGAGAGACATTGGGGTGGAGGCATAACAAAATACGGAGATCTTAAGTGAGCACGTAAGACGTATGGGGCTTTCAAATCATGATGAATGCACGTATGTCGTGCTGCACGACACCACGCATCTCTCGCAATTTGAGGAGCACACGTCTGCTTGTTAGTGTCTGCGCTGCTTGCCTGCCGTGGTTCGGCCCCCATCAGCCGCACCTGCCGTCCCACTCCAGCCGACCCGTAGTGCGGGCAATACCAGGGACAGCCTGTGTGTGGCTGGTCGCGCGCGTGCGGCGCCCCGATCTTTAGAGCTCGCGCGGCGCTGGGAGAGGCGGTCCGACTGACCGGAACACCGCCATTCATCACTGGGCGCTCGGCTCGCTTGCGCGTCAGCAATCTTGGGAGTAATCGGAGCGGCGCAGTTTGTTACGCCGCCATTTCGGGGGCTCCGCGTCCCGACGGAGTGCGTCACCACCCGGCAAGCCCCCCCCCCCCCCCACCCCCCGTCCCATGGTCACCGGCAGCTCAGGAGGAGCGCCGGCGGAGCCCGCGGGGCGCCCGGACCCAGAACCGATTTCAGCGGAGTCAGCACGGCCCACTCCAGCCGCGCCGCCGTACCTCCACCATTCTGTCCGTCCTTGAAGCTAATGCACAAGTGCAGCAGCCGTGGGGTCTGCCAATCATGAGGCGCCATGAACCGGCGCCAGAGCCGGCGTCCGGCACGCGAGCGTGCCGCAGCGCCTTAGCCGGGACAGCTGAGAACGGGCGTCATCGGCCGGAGGCTGGACGTCTCGCCGCCTACCTCCCCCCCCCCTCCCCCTCCCCCTCCCCCCTCCCCCTGCATGCCCTCCCTGCGACCGTGAGCAAATTAGGATTAATCCCATGGCGTCGCATGCAAGGTTGCATGGGCCGCACGACTTAGGGTTTGTGGGCAGTGTCTAGTCGCTGCCAGCTTCTCCGCCACGGCCGCAGAGAGCGCGTCACATGTCACGAGGGCCGGATGCTCCCTCCCCGCCCGCCCCCTCCGTCCACTGTACTGGATTATGAGCCAGTGTTACGGGAAGTGTGCGGTATACATGATGCATCGTACAGCTGCGGCGCTGTCCACCGGACCTTCTCTTCCGCCGTAGCCGGTGCGCCACGGCGTTTTGCTCCTCGGCGCCAACCCGTGCCGCCCCCGGCGTCCCGACCTCCGCTCAGCGGCACCGGTCGCCGGAGCTCGGCCTGCCGCGTGCTTCCCGCGTCATCCTACTGCACGCGCAGCACGCTGGGGCTGCACTCCCAGCCGACTACACTGCCGGCCGGCCGCGCCCGTCGCGCCCTGCGCAGGCGACGGCCGCGTCCGCCGGACCGGGTCGACGGTCTGACCGGCTGACCAGAGCCGACTGTCCGGCCGCCGGACCAAGCCACTGTCCGGCCGGCCGACCAGGCCGCTGTCCGGCCGGCTGACCAGGCCGACTGTCCGGCCCATGTCTCGGACGGAGGCTGACTCAGCACGGCGGTCCGGCCGGACCGGCTCGGCCCGGCTCGGTAGCGCCCGCCGCCGCCGCCAGGGGCCGCCCATCAGCCGGACGTCGCCCTGGTGCGAGCGATGCGCTGGGAGCGATCCCGCTCATGAT